AGACATTTATGAGAGGGTTGGCCCGGATTGTTAATACTTCTAATCCTAGCTATTTTTACGAGGCTGGTATCTGAGGATCATGGTTCAAAGTCAACCCAGGCAGGAAAGAGACCTCAATCTCCAATTAATCACCAAAATCCAGAAGTGGAGCTGTTACTGAAGTAGTAGAGTGCTAGCCTTGAGCACAAATGCTCAGGCCTTGAGTTTAAGGCCCAGGACCAGCACATTTTTTTCTTATTGAGGAATATTCTGTTGCCTTTGTCTTAAAAATCTTGCCCTAGTCAGTTTTAATTACTATAAGAAAACTTTAAATTATTATGTGTTTTAATGTACAATAAGCTTTTCTGTAGATAGTAAATATCTTCACTCATGAAAAAATAATAAAAATACCAAAGAGATACTACTTATCACACACTAGGAAGTATAAAAATTACCATTTGGTAATACAAAATGGTAGTGAAAATGTGTAAGAAATAGATTACTTGTGTATTGTATTATGTAAAGATGCTCATTTATTTACAGAAAACTGTTTAGAAATTCCTATTATATGATTCAACAAGTCTTTAATCCTTTAGTTTTTTTCACTAAATATTTTTGCATAAATGTTCACAGAAACTTTCTTCATAATATTCCAAACAGGATACAGTTCATAATGGTATATTCGTACATGTGAAACTACTCAGACATGAAAAACAACTGACCAACATGTACAATAATATGAGTCTTAGAAACCATTACATTAAAGAAGTCAAACAAAAGAATTGTATTTTAACTTGTGGAAGGAGAAAAATTAAACTATAGTGATGAAAATTCTGTAATATATCACCTACATGCAAATAAGTATAATTGATTCCAATGGGCTAAAATTTCCTTGGTTTTTATACAAATGTATAATTTGTCAGATATATTGAACTTTACAATTAAAATGGAAAATTGTTTTATTTTATAATAATATTTCAAAAACTTCAGAAAGTATATTATAAGTGTTAAGAACCAAAGAAATGAATAAACATGAAGGTAAACGACAATTTATTAATTTAAGTTTGATTGAGATTCAACGTAGAAATACAAAATTAACTACTTAATAATAGCTCATTAAACTGTGACACGTTTTTCATTATGCATGTTATGCATCAGAAATATTCTAGTTACTGTATATATAAAAAACTAGATAGCTGGGCGTTGGTGGCTCACACATGCAATCTGAGCTACTTAGGAGGCTGAGATCTGAGGATCATGGTTCAAAGGAAGCCAGGGCAGGAAAGTCAGTGAGACTCTGAATCCCCAATAAACCACCAGAAATCCGGAAGTGGCACTGTGGCTCAAATGGTAGAGCTCTCGCCTTGAGCTGAAGAGTTGAGGGACAGTGCCCAGGCCCAGAGTTTAAGCCCCATGACTGACAAAAAAAGAAAAAAGAAAAAAAACCCACACTAGACACAGTCCTAGTCCCATAGTTCAAGGAAGTGGATAAGCATTATAGAGGAAGTAATATAGGTAATCAAATAATGAATTTAGGTACTGTTGGCTACTTGAGCTGCAATGACAATGACAAGGGAGGACTCTCAGAAAATGGTAGTTAAGCTAAGATGTATGCTTTGAGCACTAGATGCCCAAGACCAAGAGGAAGACAATTTTGACTGCTAGAGAAAGCATAGGGATACAGGGACAAATTAATTATAGGATGGGATTGTTTTAAAAACATACTTTTAGCTGTGTCTAAATTATCATTAGAATCATTGGAATGAGACAAATAAAGAAGCTATTTTATAACAACTACTTTTCCATTTAATTTTGTGTAGGAGATAATTTCATATGATAATACCTATATGGCACAGATTGCATTTTGAAAAATTTCTCCCCTTCCATCTTCCATTGTCCTTTCCGTCCCCTCTGCTCCCTGTTCTCAGACAGTGTTTGGTGAGTATCATTATTATATGACTGTAGATATAGGTATAGATGTAGATATATAGCTATACATAAACATATATGAATATGTATGCAATGTATCATGTCCCTTCAATACTCTTTACCTGTTTTTGTTGTCTTGCTTACCACTGATCCCCTCTTAGATATCAATTTTTAATCTAATCTTTGTTTTTCTCTCCAATTTATTTTTATTTATTTATTTATTTTTGGGTCCGGTAGTGGGGACTGAACTCTGGGCCTGGGCGCTGTCCCTCAGCTCTTCAGCTCAAGGCTAGCACTCTACTACTTAAGCCACAGCGCCACTTCCGGTTTTTTCTTTTTGCTTATGTGGTGCTGAGGAGTCAAACCTAGGGCCTCGAGCATGCAAGGCAAGCGCTCTACTACTGAGCCACCTTCCCAGCCCCTCTCTCCAATTTAATATACTCTAGTTCAGTCCATCTCTCACTTAAGGTCTCATGGTACTTTTACACTAAATGTTACTGTAAAAATTTGTTGACAAATATTAATTCTCCACTTTGACTATTGTAATTGCTAAATGTTAGGTTCTATTAACCAGGATCTGGTATTATAAGATTCAACGAACCCAATAAGTGTTAGAATTGATGAATATATTCATATGTAATTTCTACATGAACTTCATTTCTATCCCTTCTAAATAAGCATTCAATTGAAAATTTTTAAGCATAACAAACAGAAAATTTCTTTTAAATTTTTCTTTCATTGTAAAGGTGATATAAAGAAGGGTGACATCGGGCTGGGAAGGTGGTTCAGTGGTAGAGTGCTTGCCTTGCATGCATGAGGCCCTGGGTTGGATTCCTCAGCACCACATAAGCAGATAAAAAAGCCGGAAGTGGTGCTGTGGCTCAAGTGGTAGAGCACTAGCCTTGAGCTGAAGAGCTGAGGGACAGTGCCCAGGCCCAGAGTTCAGGCTCATGACCGGACCAAAAAAAAAAAGAAAAGAAAAGAAAAAGAACAAAGGAAAAGAGGGGTGACAGTTACATAAGGTAAGGAATGCAATTCTTGTCAAACATTGTTACCCCCTCACTCCTTTTTCTCCCACATTCCCTAATTCCCAACAATTTCCTCTTAAGTAGTTAATTTCATTTCCAACATAATGTCTTGTATCACTGTTGAATTGGTTCATCAATTGTTCTGTCTCTTCATTTTGTTATTCTCCTTCCCTTCCCCAAATTGAATAAATTTATATACAAGACATGAGTTACCAAAATCAAAAAGAATGAGAAGTCGTGGAGATGGGAAGGCAGGGATGGTAGGGGAAATAAAAAGGAGGAGACAATAATGCTTGATAAGAAATGTACTCATTACCTTGCTCATGTAGTTGTAACCTCTCTGTATGGTATTTTCACAATAAAAACTTATTTAAAAAATAAATAAAAATAAATTTTATTTATGCTTTAAAAAAAGAGTGAGAATATATGATAAACCAAAAGGGAAAAAAATAACTTCACAAAATACATTAAAAAATGAAACAAAAACAAAAATAACCCTCTTCTTTCCATATCTTAGAGTTCATTTCAATTAGCATAATTTCATATGGTCATATGTATGTAGCTACTGAGCTACTGTGATCCTTTACTAGGACTATCCTAGAAACATACTAATTATTACAGATGAGGGAAACCATGGAGCCTGTTTCTTTGAGTCTGGCTTAATTCCTTTAATATGATTTTTTCCAAGTCTTTCCATTTCCTTATGAATGGGGCAATCAGTTAGTCCCCAGATACATCTCTGCCATCTTCTACCTTCTCTACCCAGAAAATTTTGTGTGTGAATACCACATATTTCTTCCAAAATGAAAAGCATGAAGAAAAGTTATATATTTTCTTATTGTTTGAAACATTCACAATCAAACAATTGGCAATGACTATGAGTAGTTCAGAGTCATAGTCTCTAGTGATAACTTCTACTGTTTCTGTAACCATTTTGCCTTTATTCAAACCCTCATATAGATTCAGATTCTACCTTTACCATTTAGGCAGGCAGCCTGAACTTTCTGTGCCTCTGTTTCTATATCTATCAAATTAGGACTTAAATATCATCTTGTCTCATAAAATTGCTATAAAGATGAAACAATTTAGTACCTAAAAATGATTAATGTCTGGAATACTGCATGCTCATATTTAAATTTAACCACCATTATCTTTCTTCCATTGTGATCATTCAGGTAAGAATCTACAAAATGAAAGTACATAAGTCTGAAGCGAATGAGAATAAGTGATAAAAGTAAATTACTTTTCTATAAAGATCCATGGCCTGCATTATTTGCTTACACTCTTTTCTCAATTCCTGCCACTAAATCCTTTCCTTTGTTTACATTAGTGTGTGTGTGTGTGTGTGTGTGCGTGTGTGTGTGTGTGTGTGTGTGCAAGCACGCATGCACGCCATTCCTGGAACTTGATGTCAGAGCCCAGAGGCTATCCCTTAAATTATTATGCTCAAAGCACTGGTTCTAATACTTGAGTTACAGATACACTTCATTTTTTTTGGAAGTTTGAGATAAGAATCTTGTACACTTTTCTGCCTGAGCTGGGTTCAAACTGTGATCTTCAGATCTCATCCACTAGAGGAACTAGGTTTATATGCATGAGTCACTGGCACACATTTGTTTGCATTTTTTAATTTTCCTTTACAGCAATCCCTTTATGACTGTTTCTCCTTGTGAATTTGAGTTGTAATGCACTATATTAGATGGTTCTAATATAAAAATAAATTGAATTGTTTCTTTTGTACTTAAGTCTAAAGGTAAGTAAGGATATTCTTTTCACATTCAAAAAATACTGTTCCTATAATTGCCTTAGTCCTACATTCACAATTATAACTTGAGTTTGAAGGTAAGTTTTACATTTTAAGAAAGATTGTTATCTGAATTAAAATATACATTTTTATATTGTTGATTCTGAAAAAACTTAGTCTAAATTCAAATATAACCACCAGATTTTGCTTTTGTTTTTTTGGGGTTTTTTTAGCATATGCAACTTTAATCAAACAAAAGTCCCAAATGTACAAGTGAAAAAAAGAAGAAAACAGTTGACACAGGCTTAACTAGTATCAGCTACTTTTATGTACAGCTGTATAAGTTCAAAAAAGCTATCTTATATGTATGTACAAAAGTTTATACACAGATCTGTACATAAGGGTCTATACATTTTATTTCCTCAGAACCCTTAGGTGCCACCTCTTAATGAAGACACCAGCACATCATTCACATACCTTACAAAAAGAAAGAATTTTCAGGATTGACCGCACTGTGCATCCTGTATTTAGACCATGTAGGTACTGCTCCTACATTGGTTAAGATCGTTCTATCATGTGAGACCATGCCATGTGTGTGGGTTCCCTAAAGAGCTTCACCTGGAGTGTTCCAAAGTAAAAGCATATAAACCAACCCAAGATGAAGCAGCATTGTCCTGCCCAGGTTGCCACCATAGGTCTAGATGTGTGTGAGCCTGCCTGCCTGCCGTGCCCTCACTGTCGGTACTCCAACTCATCTACACTGATGACTTTGGCAGGCATGGAGGGTAGGAGCTGCTGCAGCACATCTGAGCCAAACCATTTGGCAAGGCCCACAGGGGAGCTGCTCCTTTGACTGGGGCGATGCTCTAACTGGGAGTGCATGTGCGGCAGGCCTGACTGACTGGGCACATTCTGAAGAGTTGTTTGTACGCTGACAGCTGCTGCTTGGGATCCAGAGCCTGGAGGATGCAGAAATGAGCGCTGGAGCTGTTGTTGCATCATTGCCAGATGCAGAGGTTTTCCAGGAGGAGGGTTTAGGAGGGGATGGTTAGCAGGAGCAGGTAAGGGGTAAAAGGGCTGACCCAGGATGGGGCCAGATAGTCCCTGAAAATGTGTCAAGTCCAGGCCAGGAGGAAGCACACCAGCTTGAAGCAAACTTGGGAGATGTTGTGGATGTACTCCTTGGGCCAGCATCCTCTGGACCAATCCTGGGTGGAGCTGGTGAGCAGGCTGAACAATAGGGACATGGGGAACAAGGGGAACTTGGTGGGTGGGGCGGAGAAAAGGTGTTCCTGGAACTGGGGATGCCAAGGTGGGTGTTTTTCTCCCAGCTGTTTTAGGTCGGTAATCTTGTTCTTTAGTGTAACCGTGGGGTGGAACATGAAGGCTGCTGTAATGGTGACAGTTTTAGATTTGTTGTAGGCGAAGACTCTTGATCCACATTAGATATGGAATTGGACAGCAGGTTGTCTTCACTGGCCTTCAGAATATCCTCTTTACTGTCACCAGCAGCCGCCTTTCCAGGTACTGTTTCCTCCTTGCTTTTCTCTTTGCTCTCGTACATCTTCTGGATCACTGAGGTAGGGGTGAAGGAAGGAGAAAGCATGCTTGTGATTGAAGCAGCAGGGGTTGGGGATGAAGAATTCCCTCCGTGCACAGGTGCTGGTGACTTCGTTACTCACTGTTGCCTGTTTCTAAATCCATCTCTGATTCTGTACACCTGTGAGTTGCCAAAACCAGGCTGGTAGAAGTTTGCTGCCTGGACTGCAAGGTCATGTGGTAGGGCCAGCCCTGCCAAAGCTGCCTGCTGCAACTCCATCTGACTCATCTGGGCCTTGACAGGGCTCATGGGCTTGTGCATGCCCTGAAATGGGTCTCCAAGTAGTTGCTGGGGTCCTGGTGCAAAACCAGTTTGTGATGGTATTCGTGGGCGAAGGCAGTCTGCTGAAGCTGCTCGAGTTTGAAACATCTGTGACATGGGAGGAGAGGGTGCTCTTTGGCCCAGTAAAGAGGTGTTAGGTTCCAAGCTCCCCATAAGGCCACTCAGAAGATTGGAAGAAGCAGGTCTCTGAACTGGTTGACCCAGAAGTTCCTACAGGATGTTCTTTGAGACAGTTTGGCCTGGAATTTCAGTAGGGGATATCAAATGGCTTTCAAGATTTCGACTAACTTTGGGCTGAGAAGGCAAAGTCCCACTGGCCTTCATGGTGCTCACAAGCTTGTTGAATGCAGTCATGTCTCCATCTTTCTTCAGTAGTCGGCTGCTCGTTACATCACTCAAGGTCTCTTCTAAATGCTCTGCCATGAAGGATGTTGAATTGTTCACATGCTGGTCCACCTTCAGGCCCTTGAGTCCTGCTTCCACTTCTTCTACTGACAGCACAACACCTGAATGTGCTGCAAGTCTTTCCAGTTCTTCATGTGATATTGACCCGAGGCTGCTAGATCTGCTTCCAGACTGGCTTGGGTTAGAGAACCATCTACTGAATCGACTGGCAGAGACGGATCCTTCTCCCAAAACATCTTCTATCATTGAAGCCAAGCATGGCACCTTATCAAGGTTAAAGAACTCATTGAAGTCAAATTCTCCTGGGGCCTGCTCAGGCAGAATGGCATCCCGTGGTACTTCCTGATCAGTAGTGGGCTCCTGGGCCAGGATGACCTCCACCTCGTCCTCTTCAGCCACTCCTCCATTGCACTCGACTATGCCTTCCTTCACAGAGGTTGTCCGTCGCCTTGTTCTTTTTCTGTTTTTGTGATCTTCTTCTAGTATCTTATCATCAAAGCCAGTCAGCTCAATGGTTTCAGATTGACTTGTGGGTCCAGCTGAGAACCATTCTTGTTCTTCTTCAGTACATGAATCATTTATTCTCGGCTCCCCAAAGATACGCTTACTATCCCCATACTCTCTCCTGAAACGCTTATCCTTATAGTCCCTCTCTTGGACTCGGTCTCGGTCTCTCAAATCACGCAAGTCCTTGTCACAGAGACGGTGGTCCTTCTCAAAGGTCCAGACAGAGATTATCCTCCCACTGCCAATCCTTCGCTCGCCGAGCAGGCGAAGCCCATCACTGTCTTTCTCCAGTGGACTTCCTGAGTGTGGAGAGCTAACAGCAGCTGTCACGTGGCAGCCCCCGCCAAAGCTTCGTCACTGTGGGCTGAGAACAACATCCAAGTCATCTTCTCTCACACGCTCTCGTGGATCTACTATCCTGCACACCAAGGATGGGCGATCTGAATCTCACTCTTTCTTCAGTGTTTCTACTGGTGAGCTTCACCCTGGAGTCGAGTAGAGAGATGCATGCCACTTCTCAGGATCCCAAACACCATCACTGTCGTACTTTTCGGAGAGGCATGAGGGCCTCTGTTTGGAATGGGGGTGTTCTTTTATATCCAAGAGCTCCTCTTTTGAATAGCGATGGGGGGATCTGGAGGTCAGCAGCTTCTTCAGGTCAAGGAAAGCATCTCCATTTTCTGTTTCACTGACACAATTCTCCTATCCATGACTTCTTAGTCTTCAATTTTTTTGCGCTCGGTGCTTCTGCCGCTGGGCGGCCCTGCTCCTCGGCCGGCATTGTTCCCCTCCCCACTGCCCGCGCGGGTCTCAGTGCTGCTCCCGGCGGCCTTTACTCTGGGGGCAGCCTCCCTGCGCCCCCCCACTCCCACTCCCCCCACGCACGTGCACACACCCAGATTATGCTTTTGAAGGAACAAAAGACCATAACCCTTATGCTAACCATTTTATTTTATAATCTGCCAAATAAAGTATGTTTCAAACTAGTCTCTTGTGAAACTAGTCTCTTATGAATGTATATAAACAAAATTCTACATTTCAATAGATAATTTTTCATTGATAGACATAACAGGTCATGGGGTCTGAACTCTGGGCCTGGGTGCTCTCCCTCAGCTCTTCAGCTCAAGGCTTGGGCTCTACCACTTGAGTCACACAGTGCCACTTCTGGCTTTTTCTGCTTATTTTGTGCTGAGGAATCAAACCCAGGGCCTCATGCATGCAAGGCAATCATTGTATCACTTTGCAGCCCGGAAAAGTCATTTAGGCTGTAAAAACCTAAAAAGTTTATATCCACTTAGAAGAATAATCTTAAGAAATTATTGGAATTGCTGCAAATCTAATGTTTGGTTTAATGATAATATATTAAATATATTTTTGATATTCAAACATTTTTATAATAAGCTACTAGAGAATTTGCTAAATAGTTATAATCTAATGGGAAACATTGCTTTATTAGGTTTTTATGTTTTATTTCAGTATATTCTATGGTGTATTGTAGAATGTTGAAGTAATCATATCTGTTACTGTGTTTAAAACAAGTTTCATTTGCAAACTCTTTTTTTCAGTTCTGGGGCTTGAACTCTGGGCCTGGAAGCTGTCCCTGGGCTTTTCAGCTCAGGGTGAGCGCTCCGCTTGAGCCACAGCACCACTTCCAGTTTTTTAGTGGTTTATTGGAGATAAGAGTCTCAAGGACTTTCCTGCCTAGGATGGTTTATCCTCAGATCCTCAAATCTCAGCCTTCTGAGTAGCTAGGATTACAGGCTGAGTCACAGATTCCTGGCTTCATTTTCAAACTCTTTAATCAAGACCTCATTTAGAATATGGACTTTACATTTTTCTCTGCATTAAAAAGAGCTTATTATTTTCTAATATTGACATGTTCTCTCCTAATCTATCTCACATGAACAATTTATACATGAATATTAACACTGCCAGAAGAGGCAAATCTCATACATAGGGAAAGGCTCTTCTCCCAGATGAACAACTCTCATACTAAAATACCTTCTGTAGTTACAACTCTGTACCTTGGAGTGCTACCAAGAGAAGACAGGTAGGAAATGATAAAAATTGAGATGGAGAGGGCCCAAGATGGCAGAATAAAAATCTTTCATGACAAACAGAAACTGAAGGAATTCATGAACACATAACCAAAATTACAAAGGATAATAAAGGGAAAAATACAATCTAATGAAAACAGAAAAAACCCCAGCATTGAATAAAAATTACTAGAAAACTAGTTTAGTAAACACAAGAAGCAGAAAGAAGGAAACTATTGGAAAACAACTAAATGGTACAAAACATACCATATTTCTCCATAGTAACATTAAACATCAATGGGCTCAATTCCTCAAAGAAGACAGAGCAGCAGATTGAATCAAAACACAAAATCTAACCAATTGTTGTCTCCAAGAAACATCTCACAGATAAAAATGAACACAAATTCAGAGTGAAGAGGTGGAAAAAGATCCTTCATGGTAATACGTCCTGCAAGATGTTAGGAGAATGCATACTGTTATCTGATAAAATAGACTACTCATTCAAATAAATACAAAAGGGGAAAGACTGGGCAAAAATGAGGAAAGGGGTGACACTGTTCAAAATGAAATGTCCTCATTATCTGACTAATGTAACTAACAAGTCTACATTACCTCTACAATAAAAAATAAAATAGATACAAAAAAGTAAGGAAGGTCATTACGTATTAATAAAGGAAATGTTCGTGGAAGAAGAAATCACAGTGGTTATTTTTTTATGCAACAAACAATGGAGTACATGAATATATTCAACAAATGCTCTCAGACTTGCAAAACATGATTGATGCCAACATAATAATGAGGGAGAATTTAACATTCCACTCTCACCAAAGGACAGGTCAAGCAAACAAAAGACTAGAAAATAATCTTCTTAATTAAATGACACTGAAACACAAATGAACATCTACAGAGTATTTCACCCAACAATCAAAAAAGTTACATTCTTCTCAGCAGTCATGTAATATTCTACAAAATTGAGCATATTCTAAGACACCCAATAAGCCTCAGCAATTATAAAAGGATCCATATAACTCTTCGTATCCTATCTGATTACAGTGGAATTGAATTAATTCTAAACAACAAAACATGATGCAGAAAACATTCAAACACATGGAAAGCTAATGATACACTACTAAACAACTGGTGGATCACTGAAGAAATAAAGAAGGAAAGCAGAAAGCTCTTATAATTCAATGAAAATGAAAACACATCATACCGGTACCCCTGGGATAGAGCAAAGTCACTGTTGAGAAGAAACTACAAAGTTCTAAGCATGCACATAAAGAAAACACAAGCAGTGAAAGTAAATATCCTCAGGATGCAACTAAACACTAAAACTTATAGGCATAGGCAGAAATTTCTTGAAAAGAGTTCCAGGGGCACAGCAATTATGAGAGATATTTGACAAATGGGATTAAGACAAAATGAAAGGTTTCTGCACTACAAAGGACATAGTTAATAATCTAGAAAGATAGCCACAGACTGAGAGAAGATTTTTATCAGCAATACAAAACAACAACAACAAGGAGCTCAAGACCCTAACCCCTCCCAAAGGTAGGAAACCAATCTTTAAATGGGCAACAGAGCCAAGGAGAGACCTTTTGGATTCCAAGAATAGGTAATAATAGCAAAGAGACACATGAAGAAGTGCTCAACAATCCTGGCCATTAAAGAAAGGCAAATCAAAAGAACACAGGCCAACAGTTAGATGGCCAACAGTTTCAATTTGAGAAGCAAATATTTTCATAGATATGAGGGAAAAGGAACCCTATTTTATTTTTTTATTATGAAAATACCGTATAGAGGGGTAACAATTACATGGACAAGATAATGAGTACATTCTTATCAAGCATTGTTACCTCCTACTTTGTTTCCCCTTCCCGTCCCACCCCCCCAACCCTGCCAAAGTTGTAAACTGGTTTTTTGACATAACGATTTGTACATCTCATTGTTGCAATGGGTCCACCTGTATCCCTATTTAAACAATTTGTTTTTTCCCTTCCTTTCCACAAATTATACCAACATCAAATACAATGAAAGCAGGGGTTATACCGTGGGGGAGGGACATACAAATCAACAAAGAAATCATTTTATAAATATGTTAGAAACAATTGCATGAAAGTAAAAACATTTGAATACTTATCTTGGGGAAGGAACCCTATTTTAATGTTGGTGAGAATGTATACTAGTATAACTACTCTGGATAGCGGTCTGGAGTTACTTCTAAAAACTAAGCTTAGACCTTTCCTAAAACCCAGTCGTAACACTCCTGGACATGTACCCTGAACATCACAAACCAGGATTCCATAAGCACATTTGCACACCCATGGTCATTGCTGCATTATTAATGAAATCCAAGTTATAGAAACAACCCAGGTGCCCTACAATAGATGAATGGATTAAAAAAAGTGCTACCTATCTAAACATAATGGAATTTTACATAGCCATTAAAAAGAATAATATTGTGCTATTTTTCAAGGAAAAGAATGGACATAGAACAAATCATCTTAAGTGAGGTAAGCCAATCTCAGTGAGACAAACATCACATGTTCATATGTAGAAGCTAGATCTAAAATACACTAGGACATAATAAATTGTATAGAACTCTAGTCATTCATACACAGTGAGACCTAAGGAGCATACTCTTAGAGGAGGAGTATACAGGCACAATACCTATATGTCTCTGACTTTATAAAACAGGATTTATCAAAACAAATTCTAGGCATTGGAAAAAAAATTTATTTCTCTAAGCTATTTTTTTCTTTTTCCATCTTATTTATTAAAGTATCTGTCTTTAGAAGGCTAAGATTGATACAAAAATGGAGGAATAAAGGATAAACAAAGACAACAGTTGTACTCACTAGAAACTATGTTGAAAATGAACTATGTAACTTGTGTTTGGGAGCAGGAAGGGAAAACTGGGAGAGAGCAAGGGAAGGTGTGGCATTTTCCAAAAAGAAATGTACTAATTACTTGACATATGTAACTGTAACTGCTCTATGTATCATGTTTATAACAATAAAAAGTAAAATATTGAAAGCAAATTTAATACATGTATTTCACACGTATTACACATTGTGTCAACACTAATTTGATCTTGACATTTAGGCATCAATAAGCCAGTTTACATAACCAGTCATAAATTATAATTTCATTGTTTTAGACTATGCTCTTTTACTTTTCTTTATACCCATTTTATACTATAAGGATATTTAATCCTCAGTATTTTTATCGCAGTGTGTGCCATAATGTTCTGTAGCACAAATAATACCTAACCAATCCATATTAATATGTTTTTCCTTCAGTAATATTAGATTGTTTTCTTGTTAAAATATAGGATGGGCACATATACTACTTGACCAGCAGCATTCTTATTTTATTTTGTTGGTCATGGGGCCTGAAATCTGGGCCTGGGTGCTGTCCCTCAGCTCTTCAGCTCAAGGATAGCATGCTACCATGTGAACCACAGTGCCACTTCTGGCCTTTTCTGCTTATGTGGTACTGAGGAATGGAACCCAGGGCCTCATGCATGCGAGGCAAGCACTCTACCACTGAGCCACTTTCCCAGCCTTGACCAGCAGCATTTAAAAGGGCATTATTCAAGCAACAACTAGAACGAGAAAATCTAGATTATATTTCAGTGTTTACAGAGATGTGCTTTTATGTCTC